GTAGTAGTAGTAGTAGTAGTAGTAGTAGTAGTAGTAGTAGTAGTAGTAGTAGTAGTAGTAGTAGTAAAGTAGTAGTAGTAGTAGTAGTAGTAGTAGTAGTAGTAGTAGTAGTAGTAGTAGTAGTAGTAGTAGTAGTAGTAGTAGTAGTAGTAGTAGTAGTAGTAGTAGTAGTAGTAGTAGTAGTAGTAGTAGTAGTAGTAGTAGTAGTAGTAGTAGTAGTAGTAGTAGTAGTAGTAGTAGTAGTAGTAGTAGTAATCGTAGTAGTCGTAGTAGTCGCAGTAGTAGAGTAGAGTAGAGTAGAGAAGAGTAGAGTAGAATGGAGTAGAGTAGAGTCGAGTATAGAGTAGTAGTAGTAGTAGTAGTAGTAGTAGCAGTAGTAGTTTTTCTTCACCTTGTAGGAAGGTGATTATTCGGAGTGTTATTAGTCACCACTGCGAATATCACAAATGTCAATGATTATTCGGAGTATCGTATCACTAGCATTGTCATTATCAGCAACATTATCATTATTGCGATTAGTAAAGTTAAGATTATTGATGGTATTATCCGTGGTAGAATTAATTCGTCTTCGCATTCTTATTCGTACTAATCGTATTATTGTTATTCTTGCTCCTCATCCTCTTCCTCTTCCTCCTCCTCCTCCGTCTCCTCCTCCTCCTCCTCCTACTCCCCCTCCTCCTCCTCCCCCTCCTCCTTCTCCTCCTCCCCCTCCTCCTCCTCCCCCTCCTCCTCCTCTTCCTCCTCCTCCCGGGCGCCTGGGCGGGCGGCGCCCCGCGGGCCCCTTGGCCATGGTCGACGTGGCCGTGGCCAGCCGTGCCTCCTCCCAGCGCGGTGGTGGCGAGGCTGGCCGGCCGCAGCGGTGCGCCCTCCTGGTGGGAGCAGGGGGCTCGATCCTCGATCCTCGACCCTCCTCCTCGACCCTCGTTGCTCGATCCTCGATCCACGACCCTCGTTGCTCGTCTCCCGACGCCCCAAGTGCTCGAGTCCCCGTCGCCGCCTGCCGAGGATCCGCTGGCGAGGCCGGCCTGCCTCAGCGGGGCGCCATGCTGGCGGGGGCAGGGGGAAGACTACAGTCAGAACTGATGGTAAGGATGCGCGCTGAGGCGGCAAGGGCCTTGGACGCCCATACCGAGACTCTTCGAGCGGGGCTGGCTATCGAGAGTGGTGAAGGATGGACCGAAGAGGCACGGATGCAGGGCCCGCATGCGTGACCGCGCTCATCTCGGCACACCCATCACAGGCACCGAAGGCGCAGTGGCAGGGTGCGCAAAAAGGCCCCAATGGCAGGGCCCGCATCCGTGACAGCGCCCATCTCGGCATACCCCCCAAATGTTTCGTAGCCCCAAAGCGGGCTCTACCGAAGGTCCCAGTGGCAGCGCCCGCATGCGTGACCGCGCAAAATTTCGGCGCACCCCTCACACGCTTCGTGGCCTCACAGCGAGCTCCACTGGAGGCCCAAATGACAGCGCCCACTTGCGTGACCCACTGTGCCGCAACATTCGCATTCGCGCCCAGTCCAAGGCCGCAGACACCTGGCGCTGGGCCCCGCGCCCCTGGCCCTGGGCCCCGGACACCAGACCTGGGCCCTGGGCCCTGGGCCCCCAGCCGAGGGCCCCAGACCCTGGGCTCCGGACAACCATGATGATGATGAGGAGGAGGATGATGAGGAGGATGAGGATGACGACGATGACGATGACGATGACGATGACGATGACGATGACGATGACGATGATGATGATGATGATGATGATGATGATGATGATGATGATGATGATGATGATGATGATGATGATGATGATGATGGTGGTGGTGGTGGTGATGATGGTGATGGTGATGGTGATGCTGATGATAATGATGATGAAGACGGTGATAATGACGCTGATGATGACTATGATGACGGCGACGGCGGTGATAATGACGCTGATGATGACTATGATGACGGCGACGGCGAAAAGGTGGTGATGGTGATGGTGACGGTGATGGTGGTGATGGTGACGATGATGCTGCTGCTGATGATGGTGGTGGTGATGACGAAAAAAATGATGATGATGATGATGATGATGACGACGACGACGATGATGATGATGATGATGATCATGATGGGGATAATGGTAATGTAGTTGCTGTTGATGATGATGATGATGAGGAGGATGAGGATGCGGGCGATGATGATATTGATGATAATGAGGATCTCAGGAGCATGATGATGATGCTGGTGATGCCGAGGATGAGGATGAGGACGGGGATTATGATGCTGGTGGTGATGAAGATGAACATGCTGCTGATGATGAATATGATGACGACGATGATGCCGAGAATGACGGTGACAACGATAACGATGCTGCTGATGACCATGATGACGATGCAAATGCCGATGACGATGATGATCGTGATGACAATAACAATAGCGACGACTATGATGCTGGAAACGCTGATGATGCTTTTGATCATGCTGGTAATGATGATGATCATGATAATGATGATGATGCTGCTGCTGATGATGATTGTGATATTGTTCTAAACGATATACAATGGTTGTGGTGGTGGGTTTATGGTGGTGGTGATGATGATGGTGCTGATTATGACGATGATCATGATGATGCCCCAAATGAAGATGCTTAGTCGCAGCAGGATAATGGGGAGGTGGAGGAGGACGGGGAGGAGGAGGAGGAGGAAGAGGAGGAGGAGGAGGAGGAGGAGGAAGAGGGGGAGGCAGAACAGGAGGAGCAGGAGGAGAAGAGTGATTATGACGAGAAGGATAAGGCAGAGTACAAGGAAGAGGAAGGAAGAAGAGGACACACGTCGGTCGGAAGAAGCAGGTAAAAACGTGACGTAGGAAGGCGGATAAAGTAGATTGGGTCCAGACCCTCCCAGGGAAGGACAAAACACAGCAAATGCATACCGATTATTGTAGCAGGAAGGCGCTAGAAGTATACTGGGATCCGGGAATCCAGAACTACCCACTTTCAACGACTGGCGCGCACGGGCGAAGACGAGGTGAGATAATGAATTGGGAAGATGAGGACGCTGGAAAGGTGACGGAAGACCACTGCTGTTAAACGTGTCTCTTCTTTCACACAAGACCCGTGTCTGCTGCACACCACTCTCTGCTAGGCAAGCCCCTTCCAACATTGAATTAGCACGCTCCCGTAATATTAGACGCGCCCCCTCATCTGCACACCACCCTTTATCACTCCCCCCCCCAGACAGCTTATGCGAACAACTTCATGGAACCCTCCCCCTGCACAAGTATGCCCTGTTGTGCAGCACCCTCTATTAGACGTGCCCCTTCCCAAGCTGTTTAAACTCATCCCCTCGTGCTAAACGTGTCCCTTGTCCAAACACAGCGCCCTCTCTTAGACAAGGCCATTCCCAAACTTGTTTGCAAACTTTCGTTGGTGGTAGACGCCAACATCCACCTCTACAAACCCCCATCCGCTGCACAGCACTCTCTGCTAGGCACACCCCTCCCAACGCTGATGTACCACGCCCCTTTGAAACTAGACTTCCCGTGCTCAGACCCTTTCCCTGCTCAAGCCTTCCCTGGTTCGCAGCACCCTCTGTCAGATGAGGTCCCCCCCAGAGCTTCTTAACCACAACTCCACTGTGCTAAGCGTGCCACTCTTTCTACATCGCCCCCCCCCCCTCAGTTCCGCTCCGTGCGCACTGAATCCAACATGAGAGAATGCATCCCCCACACGTTATGAAAACAACTCCTTGATGCTAGACGTGCCCACCCGCCTTCACATCCCCGCTATTGAGCAGCACACGTTGTTGGACAAAGCACCGCCCAGAGCTGGTTAGGACAATAGCTCATCGATGCTAAACGTGCGCCCCTCCTCCTCCACAACACTCTCTATTGCATACGGTCCCTCTTGAAGCTGATCAAAATCATAGTAGCCAGCGTGGACCGCACACGGTGTCTCTAGCAGTATAGGCTGCGCAGTCTGTGTGGTGAAACCTACGCGGCGCACTAAAGGTCGTGAACGCCGTGTGGCGCAGTGCATGTGATTCCAATGTGGGTATACATATATATACACATATATATGTATATATGTACATATATGTATATATGTATATGTAAATGTGTGTGCATATATAAATGTCTGTGTATACGTAGTCTGCAAGCTATATGGTGCAATATAACTTCTGCAACCTACGTGGTGAAACCGATGCCGTGCAATATGACTAGCATTATATATGTGGTGCAAGATAAAGTGTGGAGTCCCTGTGGGGCTGCAACCTATGCGTGTCAGTCTATGCTGCGCCAGAGGTGCGGGGCAGTCTATGTGGTGCAGTATGTGTGGGGCAATGGGAATGCAACCTACGTGGTGCAGTGTACGGTCTGCACTCAATGTGGCGCAATATATGGTGTGCAGTCAAGTTGGTCCAGCATATGCGTATCAACCTATGGTGTGCAAGCTACGCGGTGCAACCTGTGTGGTGCAACCTAGGTGATGCAACATATGGTGTGCACCCTGCGTGGTGCAACACATGTGGTGCAATTAATGTTTACTAACGGGTTGACGCATTCCATGCTCCTGCAAACATCTTACCCACCCACC